TAAKACTAGAATTAAAAGAAAAAAAMCAGRCAGATTCTTTTATTATCATGGATTAGCCAGCCTCCTCCAAACATAGGGAAAACTATTTTCATATGCTTTTGTCCAAACCATCTACCCAGTCATATTAAGGTACGTAAATGATTTCTTAATTAAAAAACAATTTTATTAATAAAGCAGTGTTGTTAATGAAGCAGCCAGCTCAAGGGAAGTTCTTGCCTAAAACTTTCAACATCCCAAATAATGCATGATTAAGTTCAAGTGGGACAGACACTCAGGTTTTTGTTTCTCCTCAATAATAAAATTACATTTGCCATGAGCAAGCATTTCATTAAAACCTCCTTTTTTTTCCTCTCCTGATTCGTACAGGGAGACAATGAGATGATACTGATCTGCATGGAGAGGGATCTATCAGGCAATTACCTAAATGTAGTGGGGAGAAATKATATTGTGAAGGCAACTCAGAGCAGCTCCAAACATGAGGACTATTGGCTGTACATTTTAGTAAATCTATGTAAAAAAAAAAAAATCTAGAAGAACAAAAGTCTTTGATCTTGATATGTTTCATGCTGAAATCCACCACAAAAGGGGAGTAAAGAGTTCATAGTRAATTCCTCCCCATTTGCTGTGGCAATTTAACCAGCAGATGCTGAATCAAGCTCAGCCYAGGACCAGATGGTGTTCATCCAGAATTTCTAAAGGAAATAGTRAAATTATTAACTATGATGTGCAATGTATTGTTTAGATCAACGTTGTTGCCAGGGGAAAAAAAATTGTGTAAATGTCTACCAGTGTTTAAAAAAGACTCCAGGGGAACWAAACCCTTGGAATTGCGAGCCAGTCTGTAAGCCTGGCATTCAGAGAAGGAAAACTGGTGAGGGCTCTAATAACAGATACAAATCTCTGGACACATGGTCTGGACAAATCTGTAGAGGAGGGCTGTAACTTACAAATTCAGAGTCCTGAGCTGTGATCCAGCTGATCCAGCTTCTTTAAAGAGTAACTCCACAGTTGTTGGGATTTGCACAGGATATCATTCCCTCACTCATTCTGCAATTGCTTTTGGTTGAAATTAGTGCCTTCTGGAGTCAGTCATGGCTCAGTACTTATCCCTCAACCCTTCAAGCCCGTGCTGCACTCGCTGCCTCCCAACACTGTGTTCTCAGTTCCTTTGTGTCTGCACAGCACACAAATCCAGCTGTGTCTGGGGCAGCCTGCTGCCATTTGCCTTCTTGCCCACTCCATGAAGCCTCCAGCCGTGGCTGCTGCTTCGTTGGCTTCACCCATCTCGTGTGTGCTTAGCAAGGATGTCTTGACACTGCAATGGGCTCCTGCTGTCCTGGAAGCTGCTCCTTCACCCCATCCCACACACGTTTGAGACCAATGCGAGAGACCTGCACTGGCTTTACAGCGTTTGTCATAGTGTYGTGCAGCCTGGCCAGCATCTCACCCCCTGAGAGCAAGATGGTCAGTGGGACCATGCAGTGGTACAGACCACTGGAGGCCAGCTGCATCCAGGACTCCCAGAGGTACACAGGATAATTGAGAAATTAGAGCTTTACATGTAACTTTTAAATCTACTTTCCTTTGTACCTTTTCCTGTTCATACCATAAAGCAAAACTGCCAAGGCTGGAAAAGAAACCCTGGGTTTCCAATCTGTGTATTTCAGCTTTGAGGGGTCAGGACTTGTTGTAAAGAATACAGATTCTGTTACTGCTCTGCTCTGCTTTTAAGTAAAAGAGATTTTWAATGTGAAATTAATTTTTCATTCAKTTATAGTAGAGAATAATTTCTAATATTAGTTTGCATTTCTGGCCATGAACAAGTTATAGATTGGAAATTAAAAGCCCATGACTCTGTGAAAACACCAGTGAGGATGATGTTTATGTATTAAAAGAGCAGAACTTTTAAACCATCAAGATCTTTGTGCTTTACACTGATGTGTAACTAATGTGCCATGTTRGGTTTATCTGTTTTATCAAGTTTGTATGCAATTCATATACAAACCCTAGCACAGAGGAAATGTGCAGGCTTCTGCTTGTATTAATTGACAATTTTAATATACTTTCAGAAGGTTCGATCCACTAAGTGAAATTAGTCAGTTTTGCTATTGACTTGTTGGGGTTTGGATCAGGCATGCACAGCACTTYTGTATGAAGCTAGCACTTCACCAAAAGAGATAAATGTAACTGCTTTTATTTTTCTGACTCTACCCTATCTTCAGTTTACTCTGAAAAATATGAAGACAAGAATCATTTCCATGTAAGGAATGCAAAATCTTCACTACGTTTTTCTGTTCTCTGYCCTTTAATTAAGCTACTCTTATAATTTTAAATATTGTTAATAGAGAGATTTATGACTCTCATCCCTCACTGGGTCTCATTTATAGGAGGTGACATAACACACTRACTGACAAATATTGCAGAGACGTGAGTAGAAGCAATCTTGCAAGGGGTTAATGCTATAATCTTTTTCTAGCCTGTTTATAATCCCAACAGTRGTGCAGTAACAGAAGAGGGTGGATCTAAAAAGTACCGGAGGGGATACGTTTGTGTGTGTGTTTGTGTGTGTGTGTGTGTGTGCACACACGTGAGTGAGTTTGTGCACACACTCGTGGCTTTTCTGAACTGCCTTGTGTGCCCCTGGAATAAATCTTGTTCAGCCAGAACAGGACTCTGTGTGCAGGGTGCTCCTGTCGGAGAGTCAGAACAGCTTCCCTGCACAGCTGCCTCTCCTGTATTTCTCCTGAAGGCTTCATTCAGAAACGTGTTTGTTTASTGAAAGCATGGGCAGATAGTTACAGACCCACCTTCTCCTTCCTCAGAGCTCACCTGTGGATACTGAAGGATGGAAATCATTGATGCCAGCAGCTTCCTCGGGAACAGTACCAACATTACTGATTTCCTCTGCGATATCATCTTGGAAAATGACACTTTTTTCTGTGTGGACGATGCACCTTATCCTTCTAAAGGTATGTATGGGAAAATTGACTTTTTTTCAGGGAGTTTTAGTTCTAGCTGGATATAGAGATGCTGTAGAAAGAAAGCTATGCAAGGCATTTTCTCTAAGGGAGTGCAAAATCCTTGATTTTAGGTTAGTAAGAGAAACAGGCAGCCATAAATTTAGTATGTGCTGGTTTTTCAAATTAAAAATTCAACGACGACAAAATTGAATATAATGGAAATATATAGCTGTTGTAGCACAAAATGTAAACATCTCTGGTAAGGACTTGGAGAATTATGAGTTTTACTCAGTTCAATAACAATGGATCAGATCTGACACCATGTATGAAAGTGATTTAATATGAAATTATAGAACTCTGAGGCTGAAAAAAAATCCATGTATTAAAATGTTTTCTGATTGTTAAACCTTTTCTTACTTTTGCATAAAAGAGGAACTCACATGGAGAGTAAGTGGTGCACAACAAGTAGTGTGAGAAGTACACACTTTAAGAAGTTGTATTTGACTCTCCAAATGTACATTCCATTGCTTATGTTGTAGTTTAATGCTGTACAATTCAGGTAGATCAGAATATGTTTTAGGATTTCAGCACTTTCACTGATTTTGGTAAAGACATAAACCTTCATAAAATTGAATACAGAAAGGCTTTTATCTTCTGATTAAAGGTTGAAATATATGATATTAATCCGAGTTGAGCACTACATAACTGATCTTTTCTTGTCACAATTTTCAGATTTGCATCAGATAATTCGGATCCTCCTGTATTGTTTGATATTTCTGCTCAGCATTTTGGGGAACATTCTGGTGATTACGGTGCTGATAAGAAACAAGCGGATGAGAACAGTCACCAACACATTTCTGCTGTCACTAGCAGTCAGCGACCTGATGCTCTGCCTTTTCTGCATGCCTTTCACCCTCATTCCCAATCTGCTAAAAGATTTTATTTTCGGAAGTGCTGTTTGCAAAACTGCCACTTATTTCATGGGTAAGTCTGGGAAGTTTATACCTATTTTGAAGGCTGACTAATGAGACAGGTGAGAAGGTATTCAAAAACCTACAAAAAGCTGTTTCCGTCCACCATTGAAGTTACCAATTTATGAAGAAACAACTTTGTAGAGTAAATCTTTATGGTTTATGGTGTCCTTGGTCTGATCCAGTTAAACTTTAATGATGTACAGAAGTATTTTGCTGGACGCAAAGGTGTTGCATGACCAAACTTTAATGCAGAACCCAGCACGTGCACTTCCTTACCCATCACTGGCAAGGTTGTTATCAGCGTTCAGATCACCCACCAGAAATGATAGGCTTGCACAACCTCAGTAAGGGCAGATCCTGCCCGCAGATTTTTGTCAGCAGTGATACATAAAAAAGAAAAAAGAAAAGGGCCAAAGCAGGTGTAAATTGCAGAGCTGGGTGTTGGAGCAAGCACTCTTTGCAGGCAGACCAGGTGTGATCAGAGCTCATCAGRAGACCATAAAACCCAGATATAGATTTTAGAGGCTGTCTTTGATAAGCATCACTTTTGCGTGCCTTGCCATACTTTTGGCTGTGGAGCCAGGAGCTAGGAATTTCAGAATGCCTGGGTTGTGGTGTGTATGTGTAAATGATTTTTGTCTCACTTTGAATTCTTCCTCTGCATTTGCTTGTTTCTTAACCAAAA